AACAACTCAGTGTTCGACTCAGTGAAATGAGCATTTAGTTCTTGAATTTGCATATCCAAAACAGTGTAGAATAACTCAACGCGATAGTGATGTAACTTTGTAATTTCATGAGCATTGTGTCTTTTTCTCCTTCAAGTTACAAACATATCTTCTATTTGGGGAACATCAATTTCATACTTTTCACAAAAAGACAAAATATCATCAAGTAAAGATGTCTATCCACCCTCCTTCATCTTTTAGAACCGTACTTTAGAAATTTGAACTAAATTCATGGCATTAACAATATCTTGATCTGTGCTTTATAGTGCTTGCAATAACTCATTTGTAATGCCAATATTGTTTTCATCAAATGAAGGTTGAATACAAACTCAAATGATTGAATTGAGTTCAACAATATATTTGCTTCTACTCGTTGTACTAAATTTGAACCATCCTCCGAAATCATTTCAAGCACATCAATCACTGTTGAAAACATACTAGCCAAGCTGACTAAAGTACCATAGTCTGAACCCTAACATGTATCACCAACATGTTTAAGATTAGTTTCTTGATTTAAGTCTTGCCCACAGTTAAAGTTGCTTCGTTTCGAATTAAAAGGCGAACAATCGAACAAAAAATGATGAAAATCGGAAACTAAGGTTTTGAATAATCAATGTATAATTAGAGAGTTAAATAATTAATATTAGAATTTTAAAAATGATTTCTAAACTATTGGGGTTGATTAGGGTCTGTACGAGTTCGTTCATGATGTGTTTTTGGTCCTAGGGTTAATTTCGCGAATAAATGGCGAACTGAGGGTTTTTATTTTTAACTGATTATTTCTAAGATTTTTTGCTAATTTCTTTTAATAGTCTAATTAAGGTATTATTTTGTTCTATTATTATTTGTAAAGAAATATTACTATTTAAGTTATCAGATTCTATTTCTTCGCTATATTTAATACTCATACAAATGTTATTAGCAAGGCCGAGAAATCAAGCTGTGATATCAATATCAATTGCGAATTTTGCGGATTTAATTTAATGTTAACTCTTGCAAAAAAAAAAAAAAAATTTGTTGTTAATCGATACTTGCCTTTTCTAAAGATATTTATTTTTAATCCTGGCAATTCTCTAGTTATAATTTGTTATAGATTATTCAGAAACAGTAACCAAAAGAGAATTTAATCTATTTAACTTACTTTATAATTTAGAAATATAATATAAACTATCTTTTATTTCAACTCTAATTGTTGTAATTAAACAAATATAATTATTAATTAAGTATTCAAATTTTTATTATTATTATTTTATAATTAAGTTTAATTAATTGTGATGAAAGGTTTGTAATAACAGCTTTGTAGTGGTGAGAGGGTAATTTTTGGGAAAAATTGGGCCGAGCTGAGAGTTGGGCATTAAGGCCCAAAACGCGTAGGACTGCGTAAAAAGGCCGTACTGAATACTCCGACCTAGAGGGCAAGGTTATTCCGGCCTTGGGGAGACAAAGTTACTTCGGCCCAAGGAGGTGAGTTTATTCCGGCTCAAGAAGAGATAGTAGCTTCGGCCCAAGGAAGAGTAAGGCTACTCCGATCCAGAGACAACTCGGAGTAGGTCCGGTCTTAGAGTTAGTCCGGTCGCAGTATGTTCTGGGAGGACCGGTTTCAGAGTTAGTCCGGTCATGACACAATCTGGTTAGGTCGGTCAAAACTTGTTACTTGGAAGTCTGATCTAAGCACACCAAGGCTGAACAGGGACAGCCGAAGTAATGAGTTAAAGGAGAAGACCGAGCTAAGGATAGTTCGGCCTTCTCTGTGGCTCAGCATAGCCCGTGTTATTTCGGCCATGTGGTAGTTCGGCCATGAAGAAAACCATCCCACTTGGTTTAAGCAGTGGGGAGGGTGTAAAAGGATAAGCATTATCCTTAGGAGAATGAATCCTAGGAGGACTCTGCATGGAGAAGTACAAGTCCTACTAGGATTGTGCCACGGGAAACTTATAAAAGCCTACAAACATCACCTTGGAGGAGGTAATTGAACATAATCTTTCTGAGAACTTAGAGCTTTGTCTATTTGTCAAGTTTACTGACTTAGGCATCGGAGAGGTTTCCGGCACACACCCGCCGGCTAGCTCACGTTTGTGTTTTCAGGTGACAAAGCGACGTCGTACGGAGAAGCGTGGACTTGGTCAACAGGATTATACGAGGAGAATTATTTCCTCCCCGTACAAGTGGTATGAAGAGAATACCGGCAGAAGTTTTCGAAAGGACTTGTGATGCAATTTATATAATCATGATTAATTAAGACCCTTGGATTGTATTAATAGATGAGACGGCAGAGTGTGATCAGGAAGATGGGAGGAGGGAAGAGTGTAGAAGGGGATCCACTTCCCTACTTGGGAGGGCTATATATTAGGAGGGGCACTGCACAATGTGGAAGCCAGACCCCACTATATATATATATATATATAAATTTCAAAAGTCAGGGGCACGTGACCCCCTAACCCCACGTCCTTTCCAATACGCCAAAAATAGGGTATTAACGGTGGTTTTTTTAACGGCGATTTTTGTTACCGCCGTTAAAGATTCTATTAACGGCGGTAACGAAACCGCCATTAATACCACTGTCAATGTATCTTTAACGGCGGTTTCGTTATCGTCGTTTAAAATATCGCCGCTAAAGTATCTTTAACGGCGGTAATGAAACCGTCGTTAAAAAAACTGCCACTGAAACCCTCTTTTAACGGCGGTAACGAACCCGCCGCTAAAGCCCTCTCATTACCGCCGTTAATGACGGCGGTCTTTGCCGACGGAACTCCGGCTAGTGGTGACCACGCCCGACCAGAGGTTGAACATGACCATCTACAATAAAGCAAAAGCAATGTTTAAATATTTATTTAGGAAATATATTTCATATAGGGTGATTGTGGTTGGTGTGTGTGGATTAAAGGTCAAAGGTTTGAGACCTGGGCGTGCAAGAAGAGAGAATTTTTTTTTTTTTAAATTTGAATCTATTTACGGCGGTCCTAAATTACCGCCGTTAAAGGCTTTAACAGTGGTTTTACATCCTTTAACGGCGGTAAAAAACCGCCACTAAAGCTCAATTTTGCCATAGTGTCCACCTCTGATTACACTTGTAAAACCGAACTATAACCAAACTGAAATAACAGTTCGGTTACAGTTTGATTAACGGTTCAAAAATTTTTATTTATAAGAATAAATTGTCAATATTAGCAAAATAATTATTCAAACTGATTACATTTAACTCATGATAAAAACTAATAATATTAAGACATTACTCAACATTACATATCTATATCATCCTAATATCATTAAAATTAAAATTAAAAATCAATTAATAAAAATAAAACTTGATATGATAATATTAAATATTATATATATTATTAAATAACACTTACACATAGTTCAAGTACCGCTACTGTTTATTAAATATTTTATATACATATATTTATATATCTTTTAAAATTCAGTTTGGTTCGGTTTGAACAGTGATTTTTTTATAAAATTTATTAATCGAACCGTTTTTACGGTTCTCAATATTTCTTGAATAGAAACCGAACCGAAACGGTTCTCAATATTTCTTAAATAGAAACCGAACCGATTCTTAATATAATCGAATCAAATAAAATCGTACAATTTAATCTAATTCGATCTAAATTACCAATTTAAACAAATTTTTGAAAAGCTTGCAGCCTCAATTTGACAAGGGGCCGGACTGTCTCCAAGGTGGTGCAGCACTGCCCTTAATATAACATTTTTTTGTTTTTTATCATACCCTTAACATAACATTTTGAGCCCAACAAAAAATGCATAAAAACATAGGATTCGCGGACAGAGATGCTAGCTCAAAAAATAAATAAATAAACGAATAAAAATTTATTTAAGACTTTATTTGGGAAGAATTTTTTTTATTTTTAATTATTTTAACCTGTTTAAAAAAGTTTCGTTTATGATGAAATTTTGACTTTTTTTTATAGTTTTGTGATAAGAAAAGTAAAATGATTATAATTTAAATATGATATTTTATTTTATTAATTTTTTAATTTATTTTATATTTTAATAGGTTAAATTAATCATAATCATCTTTCCCTGAAACACGGGTACGATACGAGTACTGATATTGGTACGATACGAGTATGTTAATAAGGTAAAATTTAAAAAAAAAAAGTAGGGTACGGGCACAGCTTGGTACGCTTATAAAAAAAAATATTTATTTTTAATTTAGAGTAATGTAAAAATTAATTAAATGGTTTAATTTATTAAAATTTAACCTGCAATTAACATTTAATATCAAAAGTAAAAGCATAAATCAAAATTAAATGTCAATATATTAAATAACTTATAAATCATAGTTTAATTTTAAAAATATACTAGTATAAAACTAAAAATAAAAAAGAAACATAGTGAAAAAAGTTTAATCTCTATAATAGAAGAAAATATTATTTCAACTGAGGTACAGTACGACTTAGGTATGTAGTAAGTATGTCTGGATATGCTAAAAATTAAGAAAAAAAATATGCGTACATATTTCATATACCCAATATTTATGTAAAAATACCATATAAAATGTCATATATCAATAAATATCTAATACAAATACGACGTATTTTTCAAAATACCGATACTTCATGAATATTGCCGCATGAAGACTGGGATACTTTTCTAATGCAATGCCAGAGCATCAGGTATCATCAACTAATTTAATATTTCTTTATTTTCTCTTCTTTTCAATGCACACTAGCTAGCTATTTCTTTTTCAAAAAGTTTAACTAAAGTGATTGGAAAAATTGAACCAAGGGATCAAAACCCCCTTTAAAAAAAACATTATTCATTGCTTTAGTACCTTCCATGGCTCCAAGCTAAGGAACCCAAAAAAAAGCTCTACCATGTCCATTTCTCTTCATCCATCATCACCACTCTAATCTCTTTCTAATTCTCAACTTCATTACCTCATTCAAACATCAAAAAAATCCCCATTAAAAAAAAAAAAACCCCATATTTTCAACATGGCCCTAAGCAACAATGTCATCGGTTGCATCAACTTCGTGGCCATGCTCCTCTCCATCCCAATCATCGGTGCAGGAATCTGGCTAGCATCCGAGCAAGACAACTCATGCGTAAAAATCCTCCAATGGCCGGTCATCATTCTAGGAATTCTTATCTTAGTCGTGGCCCTAGCGGGCTTCGTGGGCGGGTTTTGGCGAATTCCATGGCTCCTTGTGGTGTACCTTGTTGCCATGCTAGTTCTCATAATCTTACTTGCATGTTTGGTGGTTTTTATTTACATGGTCACCATTAAGGGTTCGGGACACCTTGAACCGAACCGGGCTTACTTGGAATACCATCTTGATGACTTCTCAGGGTGGCTTCGAAGGAGGGTACAGAGTAATTATAAGTGGGATCGGATTAGAAGTTGCTTGAGCTCTACAAGTATGTGTGCTGAGTTGAATCAGAGTTATCGTATGGCTGAAGATTTTTTTAATGCACATCTCACCCCCTTACAGGTAAAACTCAATATAAATAGCCCTACTTTTTTTGTCGAATAATTTAAACCTTAATTATTATCTATTTGTAATAAACTTGATGGCAATATGTTTTGTTAGAGTGAGTTAGAGTGGTATACATGAGAGTTTTTTAAAAAAAAATTTTTTTTTAACTGAGAACTGAAAAGGTGGGATTTGTCATTAGAGTCTTTTGTTTGATCTTCCAAATTCACTCTTTGTGATGTGTTCTTGAGTAGTAGGTGTTCCTTAATTTTTTTTTTTTTTTTTTTTTGTCTTGGTTCATCATTGATACAAAAACCGAACAAAATTATGGATGTAAATAGTTTAGAAGAGAAATTTATTTGAAGTGCATTTTCTTCCCAATAATGTCAGGGACGGAGAATTGAGGCACATAAAAATACTTAGAAAAATAATATATGATTTAGATTCAACACTTCTATAACATCTTTCTTCCTATTATTTTGTCAATTTTTTTTTTTTTTTTTTTTAGCATTACCTAAAATACAAAATAGAAGACTAAGATTTATTCATGAAGTGGGACCACCAAAAAAGTTAAATCTACACCATAAATCTGTATTTCTAGGTTATTTTATAGTCTAGACTCTAGAGTAGACTTTTTCAATCAATTATTCTTTGAGTGATGTCTATCTCAAAATAAGGTTTCAAAGCAAATTAGAAAAGAATATAAACAACTATACAAAGTAACACAGTATGATTCTCCAACAATGCATCTTCTTTTCCAAATATCCTTCATCTTCACCTTTATCTTTGTCTTTATCTTTATCTCTTGTGTTTTATTTTAACAGTCAGGATGTTGTAAGCCACCAACACTATGTGGGTACACATTTGTGAACCCTACATATTGGATCAGCCCCATAGACAATGCAGCAGACATGGATTGCTTGAATTGGAACAACGATCAGACCCAACTCTGCTACTCATGCAACTCATGCAAAGCAGGGTTACTTGCTAATCTCAGGAAGGAATGGAGAAGAGCTGATATCATTATGATCATCACTCTTGTTGCTCTCATTATTGTGTATTTGATTGGTTGTTGTGCCTTTAGGAATGCTAAAACTGAAGATCTCTTTCGCAAATACAAGCAAGGCTATACATGAGTGAGTGAGTGAGTGAATGAGTGAGATTGAGTGATGGTGTTTTATGACTTTGTACAACAAGATGTTTTTCGTGTTTTCGTGTTTGGTTATTGAATGGGCGATTGTGTCTGATTGAGGGTAGAAATTAGGATTTCTTTTACGCGGATAACATTTGATCATGGAATCAGATACAACTCTTTTACATCAGATGAAACTCATTAATTTAGTAACACCCATCTTATATTACATTAACCTCCCTTGGAAATTGGAGAAAATACAACATATTATACACTTTATTAAGGTTTTTAATTCATGTAATCCTTAACTCAATTTTTATCAATAATTTGATAGTCACATGGATAGAAAAATAATATTATTATCTCTTTTATAATAAAATATATATTTTTCTTTATTTATGTTTGTATATTCATATAATTTGCATTAGTTTAGATTTCTTTAATTTATTAAAAAATAAATCTATATAATTATGTCAAAATTATAAAATATAATTAAATATTAAGAGAGGTCGTTGTAATTTACCCTATAAATTGATAGTCTTTTACTTAGATAAAATGTTGTTACAAAATCAAATATAATGAATTCACATATTTAATAAATTTCATTTAAAGATTTATATAAATTAGGTTTGTTAATTATATATTTTAATTAAAAAATTAAAAAATTATTACTTTTTTATATATCATTTAGTAAAAAGTCAAAAAATTACTAAAATAATTTATTTTCAAACGGGACCTAAGGCATGGAAAAGTGAATAAAGGTGAAAGATTGGAATGTGGGGGGAGAGCACCGAAAGTTGATTGTAGTGAAATGAAACTGCAGTAGCCTTGGTACGGAATCCAAGAAGGTGGTTTACAGGTAAGAGCTAAGACTTTGAGGCACGCGGTTACTTGGCCCCATCTGTCTGTTGTTGCTGCTTTTTTTTCTTTTCTTTTTTTTTATTATTATTTAAAGAAAATGGTATAAAAATTTACTCTTTAAATCTATTTTTTTTCAATTTAATAATGTATTTGTTGATAATTGTATAAGATATAATAGAGTGTGTCATTTAAGATATTCTAATTGATTGTCGCATTATTAGATTTGAAAATTTAGTTTAATTTTTAGATTTGTATAACAATTTTTTTTATTTGTTTGTTTCTAATAATACACTAGATTGTCAAAATATTACAAACAATTAGTTTATCCTCCGTCCAAATATTGGAGAGTTCATTCTAAAAATCTAAATTATTTATTTTATAAAATTTGTTAAAAAAAATTATTATAAAAAATCAAATTAATTGAAAGTGTTGCATGATCAGATTACAAGACAATGCAAAAAACATAGACAGCCTATTTTGTGTCATATTATGTGATTATAAATGTTCAATCAACTTAGATCTTGTTTGAGGAGTTTGTTATTTTAGTTGACTATTTGATTTTTTTGACTATTTTAATCTGATTACAAAATTTGTGTTTGAGAAGTTGGCTAGCATTTTTTTTAATTGATTTGATAGTTATGAGAAAAAAATGAAATAAGTATAAGTTAAATATGATATTTTGTCTTATTAATTATTTTAACATTTAGTGAATTATTTTAGCCAACCCTTCTTCGAAGATAAATAATTGGAATTCTCAAACACCCCCTAAATTTTTTACAATGATAATTTTCTTGACAAGCCTTTAAAGATAAATAATTTCATTTATTAAGATAAGTATGAGGTGAACATGTATCAGGAAAATTGCACAATCAAATCCATTTATATAGTAAAGAAAACCTATTTCATATCATAGTATTTCTAATTTCTTCAAATGGTGAGATTAACAATACCAGCTCCAACATTGTTGGTAATCCTATAGCCATATTAAGGTCAAGTTTGGAAAGACTAAATAAGTGTACTTTTTGACTTTTTATGAAATAAGAATTAGATTTGGATTAGGTTTAAAGTGATGTGACTTAAATAAGATGATGTGACTTAAATAGGATAGTAACTTTTTGACTTTTTGAATTTTTTGAAAGATGTCAAACTTGGCCTAAATTATCTTTTTATTCTATACTATATCTTTCTCTAATTAAACTTAGTATAGGTAGTCCACCTATGTCTATGAGGTCAATACCCCTACTTTAATCCCATAGCATTTACCAATCCTAAAATTGCCAAGAAATTTCATCTGCATACCAAACATGGCCTTAGCTCTTAACGAAGGTAATTTTTGTTGCTTTAACAAATAAACCACGCCACAATAAGGGTGCGACTATTTATTTACTTATTTTCTAATTTTTGTTAAAAAGATAACAAGACATATTTATAATTATACATATCAATTGCCTTTGTCTTCTACAATTTTATCACCAAGCACATGGCACAATATTATTTGACTTTATTAAATTTTTAATAATTATCTTTAAACAAGAAATCAATTATAAATATTCACATAAATAATGATATAAAAAAATTTAAAAAAAATCGATAAGATATAAAATTTCTTCTATATTAATTGTCATTGTTCAGTTTGGAACATTCAAACCAAGGTGACATATATAATTTCCAAATATATATATATATATGTTTTGGGTCAGCCGGAGCGAGAGCTCTGTTTTGGGCTGATCAGAGGGCCGAAGCCTGATTAGCCCATTGGGCTTCTGGGCTTATCATTCAAATCAATGCCCGAACCTGGAAAAAAATAATGAGTTGGCTAAAAGCGTTCAATTGGTTCCAAAATTCAACTGTCAATAGGATCCAGTGGGCCAATAAAAAAAAGGATCTAGTGATCTTCATATTATGATAAACCCATTAACTATATGTAATGGTTACAAAATTATTTTGGAATAAATAATTGTATTTAAATAGTAAAATTCACTCTTTAATATATAATTTTATTATTAAAGTATGGCTGGTTTGTTCATAGATCAGTTCATGGGCCTAGGATGAGCCCAATGCATGATTGAAAGGAAAGGGCAATCTGGAACACCACAAGTTAATAATGGTCAAATGTTACCCCTCTCTCTCTCTCTCTCTCTCTCTCTCTCTCGTTCAAAATTGTGGTTTCCCAAACATATGGCTTAAGTTGGGCCACACATAAAATCTTGCACTATAATCAATTGGGTTGTTGTCCTAATTGACCACCCTTCTAATTTTCGATAAAAAAATAAGATAAAATAAAAAATACTGTGATTTTCAACCTTTAAAAACTAAATCTGAATATTATTTGTAAAATGGTTTTGTACCTTTAAAAACCTTAAAAGGGTATATTATTTTGAGATCCCGGGTTCGACTTCTATAAAGAGGAGTTTTTGTAGGACAATCTTCACTGTATTTAAACAGATTTAATTCTGTTGTGTACAAAACAACAACCAGAATATAAAGAAATAAAGAAAAGGAGAGAATATGTTTGATTACAAAAATCAAACTCGAAATAAAAAATAAATAAATCTCTCTCTCTCTCTCTCTCTCTCTCTCTCTCTCGTTCAAAATTGTGGTTTCCCAAACATTTGGCTTAAGTTGGGCCACACATAAAATCTTGCACTATAATCAATTGGGTTGTTGTCCTAATTGACCACCCTTCTAATTTTCGATAAAAAAATAAAATAAAATAAAAAATACTGTGATTTTCAACCTTTAAAAACTAAAACTGAATATTATTTGTAAAATGGTTTTGTACCTTTAAAAACCTTAAAAGGGTATATTATTTTGAGATCTCAGGTTCGACTTCTATAAAGAGGAGTTTTGATATTTTTGTGGTAATTAATTTATTTGTCTTCTATTATGGAGATTGTACGTGATTCACTATAAAAAAATTAAGGTTTTAGAAACTAAAATTTAGGGAAAAAATAATTTTTTAGAGACCAAATATTTTTATTGTGAAAAGTGTTGTCATTTTCAAAATTTTGTCGCTAAAAGTTTTGTTTTTGACTTTTCGGGACAACTTTTTAGTAACTATCCTAATGACGATAGAAATTAGTCCTTAAATGTCTTTTGCAACAAACTTTTTACTTTTAGAGACTAAAACATTTGGTTTCTGAAATTCTTATATGTTGTAAGGATTATTCGTGATTGTTGGGCTGGGTTTGATAGATTAATTGTTAGACTTTTTTGAGTTTCTAACTATTGTGTGCTAGTAGTCTATTTGATGATGTAAATATTTTTTATTATGTAATTACTCTCTTATCTATTGATAATATATATATATATATATATACATAGAAATTAATCACAGAATCCAACATAAATTTCTTAAATTAGTGTAGAACCCATCAAAAAGTGAGACTTGTCTCATATGAACTGGTTGTATCTAATTAATTCCGCTATGTATTCTTAGACTTTTTCACAATAAAAAATTTACATTTCTTATTGCCCCTGAAGTGTTGAAGCTACCTTCAAAGCTTAAGCTTAATTTAAGCACTTGAGCTAAAGTTTGATATGCATCCAAAGAATTAGTCAGGACCCCAAAAAAACCCCAAAAAAAAAAAAAAAAATCTGAATTTATAAGGAAATTTTATTTATTTATTTATTGTATTATGGTGTTTATGGATCGAAAGTTCTTTAAAACCCTTTAGTTATTTGTTTGCATCTTTAAGAGAAAGAAACGAAGAAGTTAGAGAAGACAATTCATTGAATGAAACTGGTTGACTTTATGGGGCATACATGGTACAACTGCTTCCGCAGAATATGAGTGAGGAGAGGTCAGTTCAAATTTGTAGCCATGAATATCTCATCTCATCTCATCCCATCCCAACCGTATAACAAACAAACAATCAAACAGTTGAATTTTCTTATTACATCGCATGCAGTCTTTAATAACTTTGCATATTTTTTCTCAAGATGTCACTGCTATTTGGCTGACCTCTTTTAAGCTGTATTTGGATAATAAATTTGAATAAAAATTTAAAATATATAACAAATATAAATTAAATTTACTTTTTTTAAAGTTTTTGTGCAAATTTATGATTCAAACATAACATTAAGATTTTAACATAGTAAAAAAAACAAAAAAAAAATGAAAGAAACACCGGAAATAATTAATCCAAGCCCGAACATAGTTCATTGTAAATGAGTATGTGTATGCAACAATGATATTATATCATCAATGATATGTGATAATGTAATCTAATTATAAACTTTGATTTGTGCATAGTGAGTTTTACTATATGCACGTGATAATTTTTGTGTTGAATTAGATG